CTAAGCAGTTCGCGCGGCATGGCGCCGCCTCCGGGGTGGCCGCCGGTTCTCTGTGGCCGTCGCGGGAGCAGCTGCGTGAGCTGGAGGCTGAGGAGCGCGAATGGTACCCGAGCCTGGCGGCCATGCAGGAGTCGCTGCGGGTGCAGCAGCTGGCCGAGGAGGAGAAGCGTCAAGCCAGGTGCGTACGTGCGGTCGAGTAGGAGCGGGGCTGCAGGCCTTGGGTGGATTGTGCCCCAACAGTGCTTACTTGATCCGCCGCTTATCGCGGCGTCTGCGTGCAGTATTTATGTTCCTGCTCACCAACATGCAAAACAGACTTATGAATAACGGTTCATTTAGTCATTAATCAACAAATCTTTACTGAACGCCTGCTGTGTGCAAGACCTTGTCCCGGGTGCTGAGGACACAGCAGGGAACAAAGATTATTTCATATGGCGACTGAGAGCCATTAGGTAAATAAATTGGGTGGTGAGTGCACGCCCAAAGGCACCTTTGGTTTGGTAGGCCTCAGGCCGCTCTGTGAACTTGATGTTTAAATGTTTAAGCAGACCCCTGAATGGCCAGACATAACCATGGGAAGATCTTAGGGAGAGTATTCCTGGTTGAGGGAGCAGCTGGTGCAAAGGCCCTGGGGTATAGGAACGTGCTTTAAGGAACAGCCTGGACATCAGTGTGGCTGGGGAAGAGTTGGGGGTAATGGGGCATGGAGTCAAGGGCAAAGGTAGGACTTGGAGACAGGTCTGAAGGATTTAGACTTGAGGGAAGAATGACAGCAAGACCAGGGAGGTGGACATGCCACCACTTACTGGAGGGAGGGGCAGCCAGAGTTAGGCAGGTGTGTTCCTGGTATTTGTTCCTGTCCTCACAACAGCTCTAAGAGGAACACTCTTTATAGATGAGGAAACTCATTCTGGGAGGAAGTCACTTGTCCAGTCACCCAGGCAGTGAACAGTGGAGCTAGGATGTGACCCGTCTCTCATAAAGCCAGTTTTCCCAGCTGGATAACCATGCCAGGGGGCTTTAGTTCTTTCAGCTTCATGTTTCTAATCCTTAAAATAGGACTGTGCCTAGCACCTAAAAACTCGTAAGATTGAAGGGAAAGGTCCAACCCATTTCTTGCCTTGACTCTTGCACCTAGAACTGGGCCTGGCATACAGTGGGTGCTCAGTGACATCTGTAGGATGGAGTGAGCTGTGGGAATGGCCCCACATAATATGCAGCACTTGAATGGCTCAGCAGACAGCTTAGGGAGATGTTGGGTTGACTTGGGGTCTGCTCCTTGGGGTTACTGGGGTTTGGCTTTCTTGTGCTCAAGGCCACACACAAGTTAGTTTCTCTCGCCTACCTCTTTCTTCACCTGTCAAGGACTTTTCTTGACAGTTTTAATGGCCACCGTTAAGTTTTTCATCTTGGAGAGGCAGGATGTGGGCAAAGGCTTGGGGTGGGATGTGGATGAGGACTGCTCTGGCTGGGAGTGGCTGCCCTCACTGACTACCCTTCTACCCCTGCAGGGAGCAGCTCATTGAAGAGCGCATGGCCAAGATGCCACAGATGATTGAGAACTGGCGGCGGCAGCAGCAGGAGCGTAGGGAGAAGGAGCAAGCAGACAAGGAGCGGCGGGCCCGGCTGCAGGCTGAGGCCCAGGAGCGCCTGGGATACCACGTGGACCCGCGGAGTGCCCGCTTCCAGGAGCTGCTGCAGGACTTGGAGAAGCAGCACCGCAAGCGCCTCAAGGAGGAGAAACAAAGAAAGAAGAAGGAGGCACGAGCTGCTGCAATGGCCGCTGCTGTAGCCGAGGACCCAGCAGCCTCTGCAACACCCAGCTCTTGAGCTGTGTTCTTTCCCAGTAAAACCTGCTGCTTGATAGCCCCACCCTCAGAGAGCTGTGTCCTCTCATTACACCCCTCCCTGGGCACCCTGGTTCTTTGCCCAACACCTGGAGCCAGGGAATCCCCCACCCTTCCCTGGCTCTGCTCACTCAGGGACACTAGGCCAGGCCAACTAACTCTGGGGCTTGAGGGGAGAGAAAGGGGGATGCAATGGGGAAATAATAGAGGAGCAGATGGCAGTGGAGAAGAAGGCTTCTGTTTACCAACATTAATCTCCAGTAATTAGCCAATTACCAGGGGGGAAGTGTAGCCAAAACAGACTGTGGTGATGATGATGGGGGGCAGGGAGAAGCAGCCCTTCCAAGGCTGAGCCAGGGCTGGGGCCCACTGCCTGGGAATGAGACAGCTTGGGGGGAGGGGGTGGAAACACTGGGCGCCACAATTTGCAGAAGCCGACAGAGCCCTCTGTCCCTTTGTGGCATGCCTGCGTCTCCTGGGTCCAACCAGCCCCCAGACCCAGACAAGCTGGAGTGGGAAGCCCCAGCAGGCACAAACCACAGGACTGGCTTTTGAAACTTTATTCACTTCAAAACCTTTATCAGAGACACGGTTCTGTTCTGGGGTGGGGGGTGGCCTTGACCTCCAGAGCAACTCTGATGTTTCCCCTTCCCCAGGTGGGACAAACCAGGCTTCCTCCTCCCCAGCAAAGGGATACAGGATGGAGGCCAGAGCCAGACCAGGGAGGGGAATCTTGGGCCTCTGAGTGCTCACCCCAGATGGAAAGATTTGGGCCACTCCAATGGAGGATCAAAGTTTACAGCTCCAGCTTCCCCTCGCCCTGGAAGAGGGCGGGGGGAGGTCTCAGGGGCTCTTTGGGGGATGGGGAAGCAAGCAGCCGCCTCTCCATCTGGCTGCAGGGAGCTGGGACAGAGGCCAAGAGGGGCCCATCTGTCACCTCCAGTCCTGCCAGCTCCTTGGAGCAGGCTGGGCTGGGGCGGGGGAAAGGGGGGACAGCTGTCTGGCCCAGGTCTTCTCAGGCCAAGATAGGAATAGGGGCCACTTTAGGAGGGGGAAATTGGGGTGGGTTTTTTTTTTTAGGTTTTTGATTTTTTTTCCACTTCTTAAATAAACGTGAATATATATATATACTTTTTCTTTTATAAAACTTTTGTAGAAGGAGGGGTCGATGGGCGGCCTGGCCTCCTGGCATCACTCGTCATCAAAGTTCTGACTCAGGAGAAAGTTGGCAGCCAAGTTCTCATTTTTTTCACAAGCGAAGTAGGCCTGGATCACCAGGCTCTCTGGGAAGCCCAGGGCCTTCAACTGTGGGAAGATGGGCAGGTATGAGCAGGAGGTGGGGGCCCTGCCCACCCATGAGGTCACCCCGCAGCCAGGCCTCTTACCCTCTCTATAGCTTCTTTTTCCTGCGGTGTCACCTGGATGTAGTTCATCTGCGGAGCCTCTTCGCCTATTGCACCCACCTCACCCTCCACATCTGAGATGTCTGCCAGCTCCCCAGGGGGCTCATTCAACATCTGGATGAACTGCTCCTGATGCCGGCTGATTTGCTGTGAAGACGGGTGAAGGGATGCTGACCCACAGCCCTTGTCCTCCCTTCCCTAGGTCCCAATCACAGCCCTTGCTTTCTCATTCACCCAGCAGATATTTAGAGGGTGTCTATTCTGGCCAAACAGCAACAAAAATTGGGGGGTAGAAGCCTGAACCAGGAGAGACAGGCCTTCACAGAGGACCTAGAGGACCCTGTCACACCCTAGGGCCACTGCCCCTCTGTCCAGGAACCTGCAAGGGCAGGATGGAGCCCTACTGAGCACAGTGGTCCTGGGTGCTGCCATGCAACCCTATAGACAAAGATGAAGCCGACAGCTAAAATGCAGAGCCGAGTCAGAGCAAAGGACCCACAGGCTGGATGCAGACACACACTCCACCAGTTGCCAGGCTGCTCCAAGCCTCTGGCATCTTCCTCCAGAGATGGTGATGATGGTACCACCCACACCTTGCAACGTGGTTGGGAGCGTTACAAAACCACGTAGGTCATTAGGTCGCAGGGAGGCTGTCTTCCAGTCTTGCTTTCCAAGTGTAGAGACTCCTACCTACCATGCTGGGCCAGGCTCACTCTCTAGGGCTATGGTACCCACTGGGGAGGGCAGGGGGTACTGTACTGACTCACTCTGTGCCCCGGGCCATACCTGTAAAAGCTGGGGGTTCTCCTGGCCCAGCTGCTGGAGCAGAGCAGGCAGCAGCGCCGGGTTCTGCTGAATCACCTGCCGCATGTTCTGGAAGTGGGGCTGATCCCGCAGGAATTCCAGGGGGTTCTCTCCTGCTGGCAGAAGGAAGGTGTGTGGTCAGACACCAACCTGGGCTTCCTGAAGTATGGGGGAGATGAGTCAGATGCCTTGACAGCAGACACGCCACCTGCACACCTCCCAATCCACTCACCTGCTTCTGTGGCCGGCTGCTCGGACACTTGGCTTTCCTGGACAGAACCGTGTTCTGGCTCGGGGCTCCCAGGAATTCCCTGTCAGGAGTCCTATTTAGCTCAAAGCACAGACTGCCCATGGCCTCCCTCCTGCATACTCAGCCCTGGTAGGAGACAAGTGAGACCTCCGCTCTGCCCTCCACAGGCCCACCCCATTGCTCAAGTCCAGGCTCCCACAGGAAGTCCTTCCTGGCCAGAACCATAACCCAAAGTCTCTGAGAGGGAGGTTTTGACCACCCAGCAGGGCACTGAAGCCCACATGCTCCCCTGAGGACTCCCCAGGAGGCAGCGGCCCCACCTCACCGTGAGCAGATACTCCACGGCTCGGTGGGGGTTGTTGTAGCTGGCTCTCAGGGCGGCCACGACCCGCTCCCGCTCATAGCCCATAGACATGATCTCCGTCAGCATCGTCTCATACTCAGAGCCAGTCACTGTGGAGGGAGCAGCAAGAGCTGGGTCACCAAGGAGAGGGAAGGGCAGCTCCCAAGCCCTCCCACGCCCAGCTGATGGCTGGGGCACCCAGTCGTTTCTGCTCTGGGGACCACCCACCCACCTAGCGTGGAGGCCGCGTCTTCCTCTCGCCCGCTGCTACCTGAAGAGGGAACAGAGCTGCAAATTCAAGAGAGAGAAATCGGACCCTGGCTTCTGGTGGCTGGCCCTCCCCCAGGTGTGTGGAACCACAAATGTGGGTGCTGAAATGTGCTGGGAAGACAGGGCTCAAGCTGGGGCTGCTGTTCCCCACCTTACCCTGACACAGACTCTGGGGACGTCGTGGGGACTGATTCCTCCGATGGGCTCTTGTCCTCTCTGGTGGTAGGTGGGGGATGAGACATGCCTGAGGCAGGGGCTGATGGGAAGGATGTGGAAGACTCCGGGGCAGCAGTGGGTGAGGCCTCTGGGGGTACTGAGGTGCCTGGGCTAGTTTTGGCCTGTGAAAGCCAGAAAAATGGAGCAAGCATCAGTATTTCTATCTAGCCCCAACATCCCACTGCAGCTCAGCCCCACCCCGTTCATGGCTAATCTCTCTTGGACACACAGGCTCTTTGCCAGCTCCCCAGCTAATCCACCCACCCAGTGTCCCAACCAGCACTTTTCACCCACCTTGGTCACCATGACAACCACAAAGTTCTTCTCATCGATGCGATAGTCCCTGATGGGAACATCATCACTCAGGATCTTGCCAGCATAGATGAGTTTCTGTCCAGCCACCGGGAAGGCATCTCGACCCTTCTCAGCTTCTATTTTCTCCTTTAGCACTTTCACCTGAAGGGAGGGGTACACAGTCATTGCAAACCCCAAGATTCTCTCTTCCCTTCTATTTTTCTTGGGGGTGACTGCAAGACCTGAAGGCTGAGGAGCTAAGCTTCAAAATCAAGCATAGGCCATTCCACCATTCAACAAATATTCACTGAATACTTGTATTGGCCAGGGGTAGTTTTAAGCATTGAAGACTTAGCAGAAAATAAAACAATATTAAGTCCCTGGTTTCATGGACATGACACTAATTTGGAAGAAGAAAAAGCAAATATGTATTTCAGATGGTGTAAACATGATGTTAAAAAAGAAAGAAAAAAAATAGAATTACAGAACAAAAAGGAGATACAAGGGTTCCTCACTTCAAGCTGCCAACAGTGGCTTTTACTGAGAGAATCCTAAGTTGACAGTCTTATTGTAAATGTACATGTGTCACAAGTTTAAAGCCTTATAACTGGGTGAAATAGTTATCATTAGCATCAATTCATATTTGAGAAGAGAGGAACAGAGAGGTCAACTAATTTGCCCAAAGTCAAACAGCTAGGCTGGTCAAAAAATCTGAGTATGTTTCTTTTTCTACAAAAGTGAACCTCAATGTCTCCCTCATGGGGGAAGTTGTGCAAAAAGTACCAAAAACATATGTTTGATAGGTCCTAAGTAGTCTCTTTTCAGCTAAAAACACAGCATCATGTTTAGACTGTGAACTCTCACTTAAGATAAATCCGAATTGAATTCCAGCTCTGCTATTCTTTCCTGTTTGGGACTGTAGCAAACTTCTTTTTTTTTTTTGGTAGCAAACTTCTTTAACCTCTAAGTTTCCACATCTGTAAAATGGGGAGACTCGGAGTCTCCAAATGACAAGCCTACTTTGCAGATTTAGTTAAGATACCACTAACGCTCAGCGACTGGTGAAGAACAAACACAGACCACTGAAACTCAAGCCGTTTTATTATCATTATCATCGTCGTTGCTGTCATCACTCGGCATATCCTGGTCACTACTCCCAGATTCAGCCACCAACGTCCTGAGGAGACGCCTACAAAGCTGGCAACTCAGAGGACCCGTCCCAGAGAAAGCGACCCGGCAGGGAATCTGAGCCTGTGGCTCCCGCGCCCCGCGAGGACGCTGATATTGGAGCCGGGGCCTGGCGGGCGCCCCGGGGGTGGGGCCTCGCCCGGAGACTGACCCAAGAGCACCGCCTGAGACACCAGGGGCTGGGCCGGGAACCGTCGGGGTTGGGGGTGGTCCGGGGAAGTAGGGCAGATTGAGGGAATGGGCAAGGCCCGTCCCCCCGCTGTCTTCCCCGTCTCTCCCATTGGGATGTCGGCCTCCCCGCCCCCACCCCAACCCCAGCACCCGTCGCTCCCGCTCCCGGGCTCCGGCCTGGCTCGCACCGTCTCATCAGGCTCCATGCGGATCTTGAAGGTCTGCTGCTGCAACGTTTTGAGTGTGATGGTGACGGCCATGGTGGGGCCCGAGCGACACGGCGGCCCCGGGATCCTCACACAACATGCAACTCACGCCGCCGCCATCTTAGCGCCCAGCCGCGCCGCACGCAGACCGCTTCCGGGGCAGGCGGTGCGCGCGCCGACCACCGGAGCACGTGACCTGCGCGCGCCCCTCTTGGCCTTCGTGAGCGTGCGCAATTGTGGCCTCGAGCGAGGCATGCGCAAACTTTGCCCCTTGGGGAGGTGGCTTCTCACTCCGCAAGCACAACCATCACGTGGCTTCCTGCGAGTGACGCCATGCCCGTCAGCGGTGACGTCATGCGGCCACAAAATGGCTCCGGTGTCCCCAGTTTCGCGCCCTTAAGTTTCATTATTTGCTGACGTTGAGCAAAATTTTCATGTACATGTATCGATACTTGTATTTCTTCCATTGAATATCTTGTGTTCATTTTTTTTGCTCGTTCCAATTGAGGCTTATTCTGGTCTGCCCACTCTGACAGGAAGCCTGTCAAGCCCTGAAAAAACTATAAAGGATACTTGAAAGCTTACCAACAATTAAATATAAATCCCACACACTAAACATGTTTGGCTGTGGAAGCAGGGACACAAGGCCATCTTGTGGACCCATTCATTCGTGAGGCAAGAGCTGGATTTTTGGAATGAATCTGCAGTTCTAATTCCTAGGTCTCCCATCTCTCTGCAGCTCCTTTCCTGACCATTTGAAGTATTGAAGGAAGATGTAACTTTCTAGTCTTCCCTACATTGAATACGAAATTCCCTCCTTAAACTTTCCCTAGATACACAATCCTGGAGGCTTCCCAGAAGGCTAGGGATGGGCCACAGGCCATAGGAGGGAAGCGTGAAGTCCTATCCAAAGAACAAGAACTGAAAGGTTGGTTGGCCAAAGCAGAAGAGGGTGCTGTGGCTGACTGGATGGCGATGGGCTTATCTTCCAGTTAGTGGGTGGACTTCCCCATTCTCCAAAGTCCTCAACTGACCATGAACTTGCCTCCAAACCTGTTCTCACCATTCCCATCCAAGTAGGACACCAGGCAGTTACCTGTCACCTCTCGTGCATTACCCAATTCTAACTTGGTTCTGCTGCTTCTCCCTTCACTGCACACCGTAAGCTTCCAGAATAGGCCAGGCTTCATTGATTGTTACCTCTCCTGCAGCAAGGCACATCAGTTTCCAACTACCTGCTGGATTTAAGTGGCAGCCTCATGAAACCCAACAGAGGTGGACCCAGACCCTCTGCATTTCTGCACCTCCCCTTGAGGCCACCTTTTTCCCTTCCAAAGGTTCAAATCCCAACTTGGCCAATGAAGAACGCAGGCAAGCTAAATACCATCTCTAAACCTACTTCCTTGACTATTAAAAAAAAAAATCTTTTAACACTGGCTAGTACTAAGAAGATGTTTAAAACTCTCCAATAGCTCTATGCAATCTTGTTCCTTAATAGGTAAAAGAGGTACATATATACTAAAGAGGTTCAGTATAAAACAGTCAGTATGAGATAGTGGCTAAGGTGTGGGCTCATATCCCTGTCCCACCTCTTAAAGTCTGAACCTCAGTCTCCTCATCAAACTGGTACTAAAACCAACTCACCAGTTTTACGCAAGGACTCAAAAGAGTTAATCATGGAGTCTCTGTAACAGTACTTTTAAGTTGCTCTTTCCCACTCATTTGGGATTCTAGGGGTAAACAAGGGCCCTTGTAACCTTAAGGGACATTCAGCCAACACTTTAGTGGCTGAAAAATGAGCCTCACTTAAGTCACCTCCCACAAAAGGAGACACAGGAGGAAGACACAAAACTTAATTTAATAGAAATTTTGTTTGTAGTTCTTACATTCTCAGTATGAGCCGAGCTAGAACCCGCTGCCCTACTCAGAAGTGGCCCATTTCTGGGGGCAGGGAAGAAAGCGGGGGTGGGTCAGAGCCCAGGTCCTAAGAGCCCCATTCTTCCTCAGTGCTGAAAGTCTGGGGATACCATCCTCTTCCCCTACACCCCTCTGGGATCCAGGGAAGGCGAAAAGATGGAATCTTGGGCCTGGGGCTTCTCCTCTACACCATATCCCAATCTACCCTGAGTCCCCAAGTTGGAGGGGAACTAAGGGATCTGAGAGCAAGGGACAGGTGAAAATGTCAAATTAAGAAAGATGAAGGCCAGGGATGAGGGCTGAAGGAGAATCAGAGACAAAACACCAGTTTAAAAAAAAAGGGGGATGGTGGGGGGACAAAACCAATATCCACCCCTAATCAGAACCCGCCTGGAAAAAAAAAAAAGTTCTCCAGTCTCATAGAGACATTATTTGGCGCGGCCTGCTCTGCAGCAGGAGCGCTCAGGCCTCAGTCCAACCCTGGAGGCGGTGGTGTGGCCCCTACAGCTCATCCTTGGCCTGGCCAGCGGCAGCATCTTCTTCCTCGTCCTCCTCCTTGTCATCCTCGTCCTCCTCGTCCTCCTCCTTGTCATCCTCATCCTCCTTGTCTGCCTCCTCCTCCTCCTTGCGCTTCTTGTCCTCCTCCTCCTCCTTTAGCCTCTGCTCTTCATCCTGCTTGTCCTTCATTTGCTTTTCTGCTGCCTGTGTGCAAACCACACACCTCAGGGCCTGGACTCCCCTGCCAGCCCTGCCCACCCCTCAGTCCAAGACTGGACCCTGGTCCCACCTTCGTCACGCCCCATGTCTCGTTGCCGAACTCCTCAGCATAGGCCTCGTCGTTGGTGATGAGGAAGTTGTCAAAGATGGTGCCAGACTTGACCTGGATAGGGCCAGGGTGGGGGAGGGTGGAAGAGTGGTCAGAGGGGGATACGTGTTGGCCTTGGCAAGGGCTCCTGCCCATGTTCCCATAACCACTACACAATGCTGCATCTAATGCTGCAGGTAAAAAACAGGCTGCCTGGGTTCAAACCCCAACTCTGCCATTTCCTGCCTATGCGATCTTAGGCTGGTGACTTCACTTCTCTGCACCTCAGTTTCTTCATCTGTAAAATGGAGTCTGACTCCCTTCTTCAAATATTTTCCCAGTACCTACTATGTGCCAGGCACCATTCGAGGTGCAGAAAGTACAGCACTGAACAGAACAAAAATTCAGTCCCTAGATGGGTAGGGAGGTATAGTTCATTGGTATAGCGTGCAATCCCCAGTGCCTCTGTTAAGGGGGAAAAAAAAATTTGGTCCCTGTGAACCTAATTTTCTAATGGGGTTATCTAATTACCGTCTAGGTTGTTAGGAGCAGTTAAATGAAGTTGGTTCCCATACAGATACTTAAAAAAGTACCAGGCACATAGTAAGTACAATTTCAATGTGGGTGCCGTAAGAACTCCACACAGATCAGGAATTTCTTCAAAAAAAAAAAAAAAAAAAAGCACCATTTTGGAGTCAGATCTCTCTTGTCCCTTTCCTCTTGGGTTGACCCTGAGCACTTGAGGTCCCTTAGGGCACCTCCTCTTCCCTGTGTCTCACCTGCCAGAGATCCAGGCCCAGCACAGCGAAGTTTTCATAGGCGTAGATGTTGCTATCAGGGGAGTACTCAGGGTTGTCGATCTCTGGGTGGATCCAAGTGCCCTTGTAATCCGGGTTGTCAATCTGCCGGGGCTTCCACTCACCCTGCAAAAGGGAACTGGTGGGTGAGCGGAGGGGAGTGCATTCCCCACTGTACACCATCCTGCTCAGAGCCCCAGGCTCACCTTGTACTCTGGGTTCTGAATCACTGGTGGTTCCCACTCTCCGTCCATCTCTTCATCCCAGTCCTCAGGCTTCTTAGCATCAGGGTCAGGAATGTGCTCAGGCTTGTCCCAATCCTGAAGATACACAAGGAGGTCAGAGTTGGCCCAGTCTCCTCCGCACCCTTCATGGGGGGTAGCCCCTGCCCACAAACCAACCTCAGGTTTGGAGTCTGTAGGGTCATCGATCTTGGCTCGCTCGTCCCAGTCTTCAGGCTTTGCAGCATCAGGATCCTTTATCTTCTTGGGTGGCAAGAAGTCCCAATCATCCTCCAAGGAGCCTGACTCCACCTGACTATTATCAATCTTCACCTCATAGGTATTATCGGGCCGCACAATCAGCGTGTACAGGTGTGTGAATTCATCATCCTGAAGAGAGTGGAAGTTGAGCGGCCCCGCCCACCAGACCGGTCTCTGAACCTCCCCAGACAGCCATTTGTCACCACCCCCAGGCACACCTTGCAACGGATATCCTTGTTGATTAGCACGTTCTTGCCCTTGTAGTTGAAAATGACATGAACCTTCTTGGTGCCAGGGCCACAGATGTCCGGGCCTAGGTGAGGAGCAGGTCCAATCAGAGCTGGAGGCTACCTACCATTATAGGCCCCCCAGTCCCTCTAAAAAAAGAAAACTTAGTTCTTAAAATTCAGGTCTGTAAAGCTCAAAAAAGAGAAGATCTTGTCTCTAAGGTACTGTAGGTAGACATTTAAAAAAAGAAAAAAATCAGTGCTCTGGAATTCACATTATCTTCACTTGTAGAAATGGGCAACGCCTACATAAAATCATAGAAATGACCAATCTTCAACCAATGATAAAATGCAGTTAAGTTGCTGCCAACTTCAACTATTCCCTCAGCTTCCCCTCCAAAGAAAAGCCAACCTATTTAAGCGTTTTCTGTGCTCTGAAGACCCCCTTTCAAAGGCTGTGAAGAACTTACGGGGTTTCAGATTCCCTCTAACTAATCAGAAGTCAGCACCAGGGTGGGGCCCCCTCACCAAACATTATGTTGTATTCAGAGTCTCCGTGCATGTCTGTCTGGTCCAAACCATCTGGAAATAGCTTCACATAGCCGCCCCCACAGTCGATGTTCTGCTCGTGTTTCACGGTGAACTGCACCACCAGCGTCTGACCCTTGTTGCTGAAGGGCTCGAATCTGGCCGACAGTGCATAAAACCGGGCATCCTGGCTTGTCTGCAGCCCTAGCAAGGGATGGTAGTAAGGTCAGGGCTCGGCCACAATCCCCGGGGCACCCTAAGGATGAGAGATATAGACGACTCCCGCTTCCTCCACCTGCCCTGCTCCTAGAGATACCCAAACTGTGTGGTGGCTAGGGCTTCCTCCAGGAAGTCCTCCTGGATCTGAGCACCCAACCCTGGGCTCTTACCTTTATCTTTCTCCTGGTCACCGTAGAACTTGCCGGAACTGAGAACGAATTTTCCAAAATCCGGTTTGTGCTTGGATTCAATCCAGCGATCGGTCCACCCGTCTAAAGGATGAAAGGGGCAGGTCAGCGCCGCCGTGCTGATTATCCCCCATCAAACGTCTACCAGGAGCCACAAACAGGTAGGAGCAAGAAAGGAGATTCGCCCCCCACCTCGACTGCCCCGCCCCAACCTCTAATTTGACACCTCCGTAAGCTTAAACATCCTCGGGTGAACCCTAATTCCCGCCGCGGAAGGCCACTGCGCCCTACACGCTCCCCAGGGACGCAGAGGGAAGGATCGCCTGCAGCTCTAGTCCCTGAAGGGCCACCGTGTTGGCCCGCTGAGCAGTAATTACAGGCGACACGCAGATATGGAATGGGGGACCAGCCGCGTCGTTAGAACGGCCTCGAGGCGGGACTAGGCGTTACCTCCGTCCAGAAACTGCTCCTTGAAGTAAACCGTGGGTTCAGCGGCGGCCAGGCTGATAAGGCCGAGCAGCAGCGGCACCGGTAGCAGCATGGCGGGCCGAGGGGGCGGCGGCGGGCAAGCCCTTTAAGTCACTTCTTCAGCAGCTGCTCTGCAGTAGGGACGGACGCTGCTGCCGGCCGCGCACTTTTATACCCGACCGCCTCTCAAACCAACCTGGTCCGGCCTCTTGGCCCGCCTCCCCCACCTTAACATTGGTCTGTGAACATAGCCGTGCCTTTCCATTGGACCTTTGTCGGCTCAGCATGTTAGACTGTGCCTCGGAACGCTGGGTTCCCAGATGGCCGATTTCTATTGGCCGCAACACTGGCCAATGAAGGTCGACCACGCGTTGTGGGGGACGCCCACCGGTGGAGTGGGGGCCTGGAGCGCCTCAGGCTAGGTCATGTGACCAGACCTCGGCCCAACCCCGCCCTTGCCCGCGCGCCTCGCTAGAGATCTGGCGGTTTAAAGAACCCGCGCGAGAGCAGGTGCTACAGTGCAGAACTGGGGATCTGCCCCAGCCTCTACTCCGCTCATCCCCTCTACCAGGACGGGTAGGCAAGGTTTTCGTAGCCTTTTTCTACCCTGAATTTGGGGAACTCCTCCCACTCCGACTCTCCCCACCCACCTCCCCGCCTAGAATGGAGCAGATAGCATCCAGCCCCGAGATTAATTTCAGCCCAGCACCAGAGCCATGCAAGTCTGCTGGGAGAGTGCCGCCTCTCCTCCGTGCGGCCCCTAGTACCTTGGCAGCCTGTCAGACTGCTGCTGTGTGACCTGGGGCAAGTCACTTAGCCACTCTGAAGTCAGGGGAGTTACTGAAAAGCGAGAAGGAGCGACCCTGGCCAGCTGCTGCCCGGCAGAGATGCTGTTAAAGCTTTTAGAAATGTCCTGGGACAAGGAAAAGGAAGCCCAGACGGCTCGAAGTTGTGGCTATAGGCTGGTTGTTCCCCTTGTTAAAGCCTCTCTTTCACCCCCCACCGCCTCCTCGTCCTGTAAATGAAAGGGGTCGCTATCTTGTGGTCTCCCACAAACGGCCTGCTTTTGCAATTAAACGGCTGAGGATGAGAGGGCAGGGGGTTCCGTTGGGGAGGAAAAAAAAAAGGGACAGATGGTCGGGAAGATAAGGTTCAAGGGAGATGGGCAGGACCCTTAAGCCTAGAGCCTTCTTCTGAAGCCAAAGGCACATGACTGACAGTGACTGACACCAGCTGTCTTCCCCTAGGCTGCAAGAAGGAGGAAGGAAAGCTGGGGGTTTCCCAAACTGAGCACATAGGCCCTGGACCTGGGAAGTGGGAGTAAACTGCGGAAGCAGTGAAGGAGGGGGGTCCTAGACAAAGGGTGGGAAGGAAGTGCTTCCCCTCTAGGGGTGGGGACTTAGAAAAGGGAGGAATGAGGAGTCCTGGAGATGTTGAGGTTCTGCCCCTTCATGAGGCAGTATCCGGTATTGCCCATCCTGGTCCACAAGGACCCCCAAGTCTAGGATGACCACTCTAGGCCTTCCCCTGACCTTCTCGCCTTCCCTTCTTTCCACCATGTGTCATGGACACACGGGCTTGGTGCTGCCTGCCCACGGGTAGATACTATACCTGTCTTGTTCACCCCACCATGCCCCAGTGTCTCCTGCAGCACCTGGCACAGAACAAGCTTAAAACCTACTTGATGTGTGACAGAAGGAAGGAAAAAAAGACTCCTGTAGGAAATACATAACAAACAAAAATGAGGAAAGTGCTTTGAAGCTAAGAGGAGACTCTGAGGGATGCATTCTGAATTTTTATCAGAACCTCACTGTAGACTTAGGATCAGGGATATTAGTAACCCCATTTTCCAGGCTTAAACAACAATTGTGATGGCTAAATGAGTAAATGTTTACTGCTTGGAATAGCACCCATCACACAGTCCACACTCCGTTCAGTATCAGCAAATATGGTGTACATGTGTGGGCACTATTTCTCTTAATTCCCACAATAACCTGGGCTTGCAGACATTTCCATCCAAGCGAGAAAGCTGAGGCACAGAAAGAATTTGAAAACTTAGTATGAAAAAGGATGTATAATATTTCACTAGTACTTTTATACTGAGTGTTGAAACAATAATTTGGACATTTTAGGTTCTGTAAATTCTGATTAATTTCACCCACTTTGTTTCTAACATTGCTACTAGAAAGTGTAAAATTACATTTTTATCTCAAATAATATTTCTATAGGACAGCACTGATCTATACTATGAGTTATATCCCTGACATTGAGATTCCCAAAGCATGAGGATGAGGGGAGAAGTCAGGCTCTGGGGTATTTATAATTTCTGACACCGTCTCCACCAACTCCTTACAGTAGCTTGGGCAAGGCATATCATGCTCTAGGCCTCTATTTTCACATCCGTGAAATGGAAATTATATCACTATCTACGTCATATACTTTTGGGGAAAATAAAATAACACACCTGAAGAACTTAGCACTGGGCTGGGCACACGGGAGAATGTCCATAGAGGTTGGCTGCTACTTTGACTGTAACTATTATTAAGTGAGTACTTTTCCCGTATGTAAATAGAGTTGAGTCCCTACCCAGCCTTCCTTTGAAAATTTTAAAGTAGTTGACATTAGCAGAATGACCATCTCTGGAGCCCACCACCCACAGCCTTCCTGTGGGGTAAAAAAGAATCTTCGAGTGGGGTGGGAAGGGACAGACTGGGATTTCTAAGTCTGTAGATACCGACAGGCATATGCAAAATAGAAAAACAAGATTATACTGTGTAGCACAGGGATATATATATATAAGATCTTGTGGTAGTTCACAGCGAAAAAAAATGTGACAATGAATATATGTATCTCCATGTATAACTGAAAAATTATGCTCTACACTGGAATTTGACACAACATTCTAAAATGACTACAACTCAAGAAAAAAATGTAAAAAGAAAAAAAATCCTCGAAGGGTGTACTACTCTGGTCCAAAGAGGGGGAAGTCCAAGGTCACACAGCCTGCTGCAGGCGGGGTAGGTGAAGTTTAAAACAATGCTGTGAGTCTGTGCTTGATGGCATTAATTTGACCTCTCTGGTCAACCAGACACCACCAGTCCAGCTAGGACTGGGTCCTTAACTCGCCTGAAGTTCAAGTGACACACTCAAGATGGCGGCACTCGAG